GCAATCGAGAGTTCTTCCCCCAGTGGAGCTTTCGGTCCAGTTGGGGTAGGTGTGGACACAGATAAGAAAACAAGAAATTATAAAATAAAATGATGAATGCTATTACAGGAGAGTAGAGGATGTTATCAGCACATAATAGGAACGCATGACCAAGATTTGGGGGAATGGGGTTCAGGGAAAGTTTCCTGGAGGAAGTGACATTTTAGCTGAGACCTGAAGAGAAGCGGGCCAGGCCAAGAGATGAGGAGAGGAAGTATTCCTGGCAGGGGCACAGCCTTTAAAAAGCCTAGAGGTACAAAAAGAACTGACCTGGTTCAGTCTGGAGGGGTGCACAGCAGCCCTTCTCCACTGGGGTTCTGCAAGAGAATCAAGCCCTAAAGCCCCATGGTAGCTATTGGGAGACTGAGAAAACGGTCATTCAGATCAATTTCCCCAGGGCTTAATTCTCTTGAGAAAGGATTGTGTCAGAACGTGGAGATAGGTGAGGGTAGAAGGAAAAGCAGGAGCTGGATCACAGAGGGTCTTGTAAGCCACATCAGTTTTCGTTCTGCCATAAAGAAATTGCATGATCACTAAATTAATTCATTAGCTGCATATAGAACAGTTCACACAATGAACAATAAAAATCTAAAACAAAGCACAATAGATGGCATCAAAACATTTAAAAAAACCCCCTCAGCTTCAAATAAATTCTACTTAACTGTCAAGTCTCAATCACTTGTGTAATATTTATTGAGCACTAGCTCTGACTGGCTGCTGGGGACACACAGAGGAAAGAGACAGAATCTCTGCCCTCCAGAAGCTCAAGGTTTTTGCTAAAGTCTTTCTGACACATCCAGCTCACCATGGCCTCTCCCCTCTTCTTTTTTTTTTTAAATCCTCACTTGAGGATATTTTTATTATTTTAGAGAGAGAGAAGAATGGAGAGAGAAACGATTGATTGCACGTCCTGACTGGGGATCAAACCCACAACCTAGGCATGTGCCCTGATTGGGAATTGAACCTGCAACCATATGAGCCACCCACCCAGAGCTCTCTTTTCCTTCAAGGCTTAAAATAACTGCTTCACCATTCACTCATTTTGGCATCTAATCACAATCTCTTTAATGCCATTATATACATACGTACATTATTTTTAGTGAAAGGAACACCTGGAGAACAGAGTTGATGTCTTCCATTTCATTACTACTTGCACTATAGAATTAAGTGAGGAACTGCGCATAGAGTAAAATCTCAAATATTCATTAGATTGTGTTCAGCCATGTGTATATATGATGTCAGGATATGTGCATGTACAAAAAACTTCAAGTCAGAAAACAATCAGCAAATACAAAGGTACCTCTTACTACAACTTAAAAAAATCCAAACCCTCTTGCATTTATCTCTATGTACTTTAGCACAGAAAGAGGTCAAGAAACTTAAAGAGCAGCCAAAATTATTAAGAGGAATCAAATGACAATTATAACAGTTAATTACCTTAGGCGAATGGTGACAATAAAAAAAAAACAGTACAATCAGGCTGTCTGCTAGATTAGAAAAATGATAGTTTTGGGACCATTTTCATGGTGATCGAGGGACTGCGCAACAGGAATATCTTTATGGGAAGCATTCTAGGAGACAGGGAGTCTACATTGTTTTGGAGAAGAGAATTGGGCTCTATCTAGTCCAGTCACGACTGCAATAGAGCTAGATGGAGTCTTACCATGATGACTGCCATAATAATAAGAGGATACTGCTGATGAGGTCACATGAATTTAGTTTGGGAAAATGAGACCTAAGAGGAGTAATCATAAATCTACGATTATAAATGGCATGTACACATTGAGCCCAGATTTTTACCTCATCCAAACTTGAAACGGTTGGCCAAAGATGCCATTATAAACATGAACAAGGTACCTAATTTGCATAAATTATAAGGCAACACCTTATACAGTAGAGGTGATATAGCAAATGACTGAGAACATGAGCTCTGGAAGTCAGACTGCCTTTGTTCATAACCCAGCTCTGCCTCAACTGAAAATTAGAGGTAATAACAGGATACACCTCACAAAATTGTGATGAGGATTATAATACATGCAAAGTTCTCAGAAAAATAAAAGGATCTGGCACATGGTAAGCTCTCAATCGATGCTAGCCATTAATATGCTCAGAGAAGTCACTGGAAAAATCAGGAAACAAATTGATTTTTTAAAGTTTCAAATATATTTAGAAATGGAAATAGCTATTACCAGAGTTGGGTTAGTGCTGTCTGGATGTGATGAACCAGTAAGGCAATGCCCATTTTTCATAAGTTTTCAACTCTAGAAAGCAATGACTCCTAGCTTTGATAAAGCTGTCTTTATTAATTTTACAAAAGGCATAAAAGCAATATGGGAAAAGCTGGAGAGAAGGGAGAATTGGATTTGGCTACTTCTTCCTCATCTTTAAATTCTCAACTTAAAAGTCACCACTCCTGATAGCCCTTACTTAAAGTAGGTGTCCTTATTTTCTTTCTCAGCACAGTTTGCTTCCTGTACAGCCCAGCACTTATCACAACTTGCAATCTTTTTTTTTTTATTTTTAGGGAAAGGGGAAGGGGGAGAGAGAGGGAGAGAAATATCATGTGAAAGAGAAACATCGATTGGTTGCTTCCCGTAACTACCTGGAACAGGACTGAATCCAAAACCCAGGCATGTGTCCTGACTGGGGATCGAACTGGCGACCTTTCACTTTGTGGGATGATGTCCAACTAACAGAGCCACACCGGTCAGGGCTGCTTATTTATCTTTAATGTCTTACACACTAAATAGCTCCATGATGGCAGAGTATCTTTGTTCATTATGTCATCCTTAGCTAAGCTTAAGACATAGACAGCACAGAGTGGGTACTCAGTAAACAGCTGCTGAATGAATCATGAAATAATGATTCGTAAGATCTCTTTCACCAAAAATCAATAACTATTGGCTAACAGAACACGACAAAAAATACCCAGTATAAAGGAGGAGGCTTTTATTTTTGGATCTAGGAAATATTTAATGCCTCACTATGATCAAACTAACCAAATGGCTCCATTTCAAGAAGTTTAGTTAGAACTTGACTGATATAATCTTAGTAACTAGCACCTTCCCCAAACAGTGACTTTGTAAGTACTTTCAGATTTGCCCTACTAATTTTAACAATCTAGGTCCAACTTCTATCCAGTAATGGGTTGGCTACACAGAATTCTCTGAGGAGCTTTGTAAAAATACAGATTTTTGCCCTGCCTGGTGTGGCTCAGTGGATTGAGTGCCAGACTGCGAAGCAAAGGGTAACTGGTTTGATTCGCAGTCAGGACAAGTGCCTGATGCAGGCCAGGTCCCCAGCGCGGGGGCGTGAGAGAGGCAACCCCACACTGATGTTTCCTTCCTTCTTTCTCCCTCCCTTCCCCTCTCTCTAAAAATGAATAAATAAAATCTTTTTTTTTAAAGTGGAATCTATAAAAAAATTAAAATAAAAAACAAAAATACAGATTTTTGGACCAAAATTCCAGAAAAGTTTTATTTAATACTTATGTAATGAGGCTCTAGAATCCATGTATTTAAAACTTTGCTTATTTTGGATAGATAATATATGTATGTACTATATAATTCTCCTGTCTTCCAGTTTCAAGTTCACTTTTAAAAAGTATTTTATTTATTTTTAGAGAGAGGAGAAGATAAGGAGAGAAACATCTCACATGCCCCCAACTGGGGACCTGGACTGCAACCCAGGCATGCGCCCTGACCAGCAATCTTTGGATTTGCAAGATGATACCCGACCCACTGAGCCACACCAGTAAAGGGCAGGTTCACTTCTCTATAAGCTATCACTGTTACCATTTCTTTTGTATTCTTCTAGGTTATTATTTGTCTAAGCAAGTATGTACATATCCTTTGCTTTAAAGACACACTTGGATATTTAATGAACTCTTCTATTTTTGTTTTTTTAAATTCCCATTTCACAATACATGTTGAAGATGAAGGTATCTTTGTATTTTTCACAAGCCTCACCCTAGGAGGTTCTGAGGCAAAGCTGAATATAGGAACCACTCATTGGCCCAGGGTTAAGAAGTTAAGTTCAACTCACTACAGCACATTAGAAACTCAAGGATATTGAACAGATGCCCTCAAAGGTAGCCTTGCTTACTTGACTTCTGCCCTCTTCTCTTATGCACACGAACCAAAACATTCTCTAATGTCTCCATAAGCCAGAAAAAAACAGTCACTCAAATGGATGTTGCCAAAGCTATTGGATTTTCAGTTCCTGGAATGCTTTCCTGCCCAATATCACCTGAAATCACAAACCTGACAATCACTATGTTACACAAGGCGTTTGGTATTTGGGTTATAATGTTGTTTGATCCTGGTGGTTAAGTAGTTTAATGGAGCACTCCTGAAATACTTCCCTTATCCTTACTGACACAACAGCATCCAATCCTCCCCCAGAACTGCAAAAGCAGTCCCACTGTGTCAGGCCGAACTTGGTGAATTCTCGAGTTCGGGCTCCAGCAGACCTGACTTCAACTCTACAGAAGGGCTATCGCAGCTCTAGCTTTCTCCCCCCACCTACCCTAGCGACAGGAGAAAGAGCTTTCTTTTGGCACGGAGGGTAGGCTCTCCGAGGGCCACCGGAGAATCTCCTCCGCAGTGTCCCTTTCACTACGAGGCGCACCACGCGGCAGGCATCCTCACTTCCGCGCCGTGGAAGAGCTAGAGGGCTCGCCAAGCGAGGCAGGGAACCCTCCCGGACCCAGCGCCGGCTTACCCCACCTCCTAGCTGAAGGGGCTTTGAAGGGATAAGAGAGGGCGTGATTCCTCTCCCTTCCCCTAGTATTCAAACGGCAAAGTGGGACATAGGGGCCCAAATCTCAGATCCCTCCCTCCTTTACCCGGGCTTTTTTCCATCCTCTGGGCCCCACGTCTGCCCCACGAGCCTGGGCCCAGGCCTCCCCACCTCGGCCGGCTGTCCCGGCCCTCCTTCCTGCCCGCCCCCTACCCCCTCACCCAGCATGATGGGGCTGAGCCGCCGGGCCAGGCCTTTGGACAGGTCGTACACGTAGAGCTTCACCGGATAGAGATTTGGAGGCTCCATCGGGACCGTGGCGGTGGCCACAAAGTCCCACTGGCACCCGGCTTGGACCTTCCCCGTACCCGACCCGGGTGAGGAGCGAAAGGAGCGTGAGGGGACCGAGCCTGGGCCCGGCCTGAGGGGCGGGGGAAAGGCCGCCTTGAGCTGCTCGCGCCCCAACGCTGCTCGCGCCCCACGCCCGCCACGGGCAACGACTACTGTGAGGTGACAGAGCCAGGGCCAGGGTCCGAGCGGAAGAGAGGCGGGGGCGGGGACGCACTTTCACGCATGTGCATACCATCCCGACGGGTGTGAGGGGCGGGGTTTCGCAGGCGGGGGCGGAGCTTTCGCGATCTAGGTGTTGGCAGAGCCCTGCACAGAGAGCAAGTTGTGGGAGTGGCTTGTCGGCCTCACAGAAAAAGTGCGTGTTATGCGTGATGACGTAGGCCGTTGATTGGGAGCGTGAACTGGATCCCGCGCGTGTGGAGTACCCCGCCTTCATTCCAAATTGATCTTTTTCCGGCGCGGGAGGTAGGCAAAGACCATCTGGGTTCTGTGTGTGTTGCTGGTCGGCGAGGGCTGGCCTGGCTCTGCTTCGCCCACTCAGTCTGGTGCGTCACCCTGACATCCCTGCAGAGCAGCGTCAGTCAGGAGTGCGCAGCCCAAGGGTCGAGACAGTCTTTGGTTCCCCTTCCTCCTAGGACAGGCCGCACCTAGTCTTGGAGACCCCCCTGGGCATGGCCGGCTGAGGAGCTGAGGGAGATTTGGGGGGCAGGATGAGGACTAATAGGTCCGCTAGAGTTTGGAGTATCCGGAGCAGGAATCCCTCAAGTCCAAATGGTGCCGAAGGTGGAACGGAGCCTATACAGCGATTAGAGAGGCCACCCTGGGCCACCACAGGCCCTGAAGCGTCTTTAAGGGATAGCTAAGGCGAGGCTGCCGGAATGATGCCCATGCTCATTTACCTCTGGGTCTCAAACTACCAAGAGCTCTGGAGGCGGCAGGATCCCCATGCCCGTAACCATGAGCCCCTAGGACAGGTCTCAAAGGAGCCGATGTTTTTAGATACAGCTTTGCTCGTTACTGATCTTAACTTTCTTTCACCTAGCGAGCAGTTACCAGCATGTCAGAGTGGGAGTCTTACTACAAAAACGAGGGCGATGAAGAAGAAGAACAAGAGGAGGGCCTTGAAGCTGGTGGTCGGTGACTTTAACACGTACTGTTGTTCTGTGTGTGGGAAACTTTCTCTGCTGGTTGTCCTTTGCTCTCTAAGGGCCTACCCTTCTATCCCAAGAGGACCTCAAATACCTTTCTCCCTTTGAACTTCGCAGAGTTGCCGTAGGCACTTTTATTCATGTCCTACTCTATTCTGTGGGACATTTCTAGCCTTTAACTTTTTGCGGGACACTGGTAGATTGCTACCTGTGGAGCCCAATAAATGACACTGAACAGTGGTATCTTTTGTCACCTTAGATGGCTCTGGTAAGCTTCTTCACTCAAAAAAGTTTTTACTCTTTTTAGGACCTCAGTATAAAAATACCTTCAACCAAAGAATAAACGGTAGCAACACAGTTACAAGTGTCACTTCCTCATAACCTCCATGTGGGGAGTATATGTTCAACCAACATAGTAACACATAGGACAAAGAAAAGGAAATAAGGGCTACGGGTACTCTGCATACTGGTTAATTTAAGTCCTGGGGAGAAAACTTTAAAGTCTATTTATTAAAATGTAGAAATGTATAGGAAATATTGAAAATAGAGGACGCTCACTGTAATCTATATAACCTACTACCCTAATACAATACATTCTACATATTTCCTAACTACATATAACTGTTTTTCTTTGTATCTGATTTTTTATATAGTGGTAATTGTAGTGCATCTACACTTAAAATTTTAATTTACACCAGTCTTCTAACAAAAATAATTTTTTAATATTTTTTAAAGTTTTTTTTAAAGATTTTACTTATTTATTTTTAGAGAGAGAGGAAGGGAGGGAGAAAGAGACGGAGAGAAACATCAATGTGTGGTTGCCTGTTGAGCACCCCTGCTGAGGGATCTGGCCTGCAACCCAGACATACGCCCTGCCTGGGAATTGAACCAGTGACCCTTTGGTTCACAGGCCAGCATTCAGTCCACTGTGCCACACCAACCAGGGCAGAATTTTAAACATATACATAATTTTATATTCTGCCTTTTTTCCTTATTTATCATAGACCTTCCCATGTAACTACATAAATAGAGTCTTTATAACTCATTTTTAATTTATTATAATTTATTAATCCTATTTTCTGTTGGATATTTTAAAAATATTTTTTCATTGATTTGAGAGAGAGAAGGAAACATTGATTTGTTATTCCATTTATTTATGCATTCAGTGGTTGATTCTTGTATGTACCCTGACTGAGGATTGAACCCACAACCTTGGCTTATTGGGATGACACTCTAACCAATGAGCGACCCAGCCAGAGCCATGGATATGTTATTTTCAATTTCTTTATTTTGTTGTTATTATTTTTTTAGATTTTGCTTATTTATCTTTAGAGAGAAGGAAAAGGCGGGAGAAAAAATGGAGAGAAACATTGATGTGAGAGAGAAACATCAGTTGGTTGCCTCATATGCACCCCAACCAGGGACCGAACCTGCAGCCTATGCCTGTGCCCTGACTGGGTATGAATGCAGCCTTTAACTTTGCAGAACAATGCCCAGTCAAATGAACCACACCAGTCAGCACTTCAATTTCTTACTTTAATAAAACAACATTAAAAAATTTTGTATAAGGGCTTTTCAATATCTTACTTTCTTCAGATAGATTTTTAAGCTGTAGGATTCCCTGGGTCAAGGTAGAATTTTGTTTAAGGCTTTTGACACATATGGCTATATTGTTTTAATAAAAGATAGATAATTAAATTTGTTTTATTAGGCAGCAGTATAAAAAATGGAGACAACCAGCCCTGACTGGTGTGGCTCAGTGGATAGAACATTGGCCTGTGAACTGAAAAGTCACTGGTTCGATTCCTGGTCAGGGTACATGCCTGAGTTGTGGGCCAGGTCCCCATTGATGTTTATCTCCCCCTCTTTTTCCCTTCCTTTCCCTCTGTCTAATAGTAAATAAATAAAATCTTTTTTAAAAATCATTTTTTTTTAAAAAAAGGAAGACAACCAGATATGAAAAACCCATCACTCAGGATGTAATCATGCCAAGAAAAGAAAACCTGAATCTGGTGCAGTCTCTCTGGGTCCTTAGTAGGAAATACAGAGGACTCTGTTCAGCTACACCAAAAGAATGCAGTCAGCAAATCCAGAAGGTGGAAAACTGCGCATGACACAATATCCTGGTTCTTCAACAAATAAATTATGAGACAAAAGATGGAGAAGGTTATCTATAGATTAAAAGACTTTAAAAAAAAAAAAAAAAGAAAACCAGTGTTGCCCTGTCTGGTGTGGCTTGGTTGGAGCATTGTCACATAAACTGTAAGGTTGTGGGTTGATTTTCTGGCCATGGCACATACCTAGGTTGTGGGTTCAGTCCTCAGTTGGGGCATGTGGGAGGGGCAACCAATAAATGTCTCTCTCACATCGATGTTTCCTTCTTTTTCTCCCTCCCTTCCCCTCTCTCTGTAATAAGCATGTCCTTGGGTGAGGATAAAAAAAAAACACCAAAATGGTGTTTAGGAGTGTTCTCTTGGATGAGAAAATTATTTTTAAAAAAGGAAATGAAGTCAGGATAGTGGTTACTCTTGGGGGGAGGGTGAGCATTGTAATTGGGATAGGGTTCATGGAGAGGGGCTTCTGAGGTGACTGGCAGGATTCTATGTGGGTGGCGTTTTTAAGGGTGTTCACCTTATAATTCATCAGGTTATAGTTTTGCTTAATGGGCTTTTCTGTATTTGTTTTATTATAAATAATAAACCTGATAAATATGAATGCAAGGGCAAACATTTTCTTTATTTTTTTCCCATGTAGGAGAATATACATATTCAGGAAGAGATAGTTTGATTTTTTTGGTTGATGCTTCTAGGGCCATGTTTAAATCAGAGGGTGAAGATGAATTGACTCCTTTTGACATTAGCATCCAGGTAAGATTACCTTTTTATTTAAAACAAACAAGCAAAAAATCCCCTGAAGTATTAATGCCACTTTAAAAAGTACGGACTCTTCGAAAATTTTGTTTGTGAAGGATAAATGGCAGTTAGCCTCCCAGGATGGCTGTCTTAACTTACAGCTGAAAAAAAATGGCCATGTTGGAGAACAGGCCCATTTTATTCTGGGTTTCAACTCCATACATTGCTCCCACCTTCAGCGTTAGCCGTGGTCGTGGAAGTGGACTGCTCCTTCTGTAGAAATGGGAGTGCAACAGAAGAAAGGAAGTTCCAGCAATTATTGTATGGAAATGAGTCCTCTTGTAGGTGATAGTTGGAAGATGGGTGTTACCTGCGATTGAAAAAAATTATTCCAACAAAAAGACAAAAAACCTAATTTAAAAATGGGCACAGGATTTGAATATACATGTCTCTAAAGGTAAACAAATGGCCAGCAAGCACAGGAGATTCTCACATTTTTAGTCATTAGAGAAAAGCAAAACAAAACCACAATGAGGTATCACACTATGATGGCTATAATTTTTTTAAAAAAAGGAGAATTAGAAGGATGTGGAAAAATTGGAAGCCTCTTACATTGCTGGTGGCAATGTGAAAAGGATCAGCTGCTGTGGAAAACTGGTGGTTCCTCAGAGTTCAATATAGAATTACCATCTGAATTACTCTTCCCGGGTATATACCCAACAGAATAAAAATCAGCTATTCAAATCCTGATTTTGCCACTTATAAACTGATGTTAGAAGACAGTTGTTCTACCTCTTGGTATCTGTTTTCTCACCTGTGAAATTGAGAAAATAGTATCTTCCTCATCAGGTTGTTGTGTGGACTAAATAGTTTTGTTTTTTAAATTGAGGTATAGTTTACATAACAAAATTAACCATTTTAAAGTGTACAATTCAGAGGTCTTTAGTCATTCACTACCTCTTGTCTCATTCCAAAATATTTTAAGTGGATAAACAGAATACTTATACCTACAGTTGGAATATTACTCAGACATAAAATGGAATGAAGTACTGATACATGCCACAAGGTGAATGAACGTTGAAAACATACTGAGTGAAAGAAGCCAGACAAATGGTCACGTATGATTACATTTATATGAAATATAGAATTGATAATCCATAGAGAGTGCAGGTTGGTGGTTCCTAGGGGAGGGGAGAGGGAGAAATGGGGAGTAATGGCTTAATTGGGTATGGGATTTGCAGTTGGGGTGGGGAAAATATTTTGGAACTAGATAGAGGTGGTTTTTATACAACATTGTGAATTTATTAAATACCACTGAATTGTCTGTTTTTCATTTATTTATATTATTGATTTTAGAGAGAGGAAGGGGGCAGAGATATGTGCCCTGACCAGGGATTGAACCAACAACGTTGGTGTACTGAGACAATGCTCTAACCAACTGAGCTACCTGGCCAGGGCTGAATTGTTTACTTTGACATGGTTAATTTTGTTATGTGAATTTCATTTCAATTAAGAAGATCACTATTTCTTTACAGAGAAGAATTTCTTTTTTTTTTAAAGATTTTATTTACTTGTTTATTTGTTTTTAGAGAGAGAGGAAGGGAGGGAGAAAGAGGGGGAAAGAAACATCAATGTGTGGTTGCCTCTCAAACACCCCCTACTGGGCCCTCAACCCAGGCATGTACCCTGACTGGGAATCGATTGAATGCAATGACCTTTTAGTTTGCAGGCCAGTACTCAATCCACTGAGCCACACCAGCCAGGGCTAAAGAGAAGAATTTCTAAAGATTTATTGTGTATCTCAGGTCTCCTATTTTTATCTTTTTAAAAAAAGATTTTATTTATTTTTAGAGAGATGGGAAAGGAGCGAGAAAGAGAAAGAGAAAGAGAAAAAGAAGGAGAGAAACATTGATGTGCGAGAGAAACATCAACCAGTTGCCTCTCATGCACCCCCAACCAGGAACCTGGCCCATAACCCAGGCATGTTCCCTGACTGGGAATTAAACTGGTGACCCTTTGGTTCATAGGCCAGCAGTCAGTCCACTGAGACACACCAGCCAGGGCAGGTCTCCTATTTTTAGAAGCTGGAACCAAACAAGCTGCTTATGCTTTAATTTGTACACAGACAGCTCTTGCAGTTGACAAATCAGAATATCTTACATCTAAAAACCAAATTAATAGCAACAATCCTTTACCTTAAAACTGGTTTTCACACTTTAATCTACATAAGTATGACCAGCAAGGGCTTGTTAATACAGACTACAGGGCTTTTCCCAAATCCTGTAGGTCTAGAACCAGGACCAATAATTTGCATTTTCAGCAAGTTCCCTGGTGATGTTGATGTTGCTGGTTTGGAGATCACTCTGGAAGGAGTACTGCTTTAACCTTTTTTGGATCATGGACCTCTCTTTACAATGTGATGAAAGCTATGTACCCTCTCCCCAAAACAGTTCTACGTGTAGTTTCAAAGGGTTCCTGGAACCCTTGATATCTAAAGAGGCTAGAAGAAAATGTGGTATTATGTAGTGAATAAATGAGACACAGGCGAGATCATGTATTTGATACAAGATACTAGCTGGTGTGACTCAGTGGAGTGAGCATCGCCCTGTGAACCAAAAGGTCGCAGGTTCCATTCCCAGTGTCGGGCACATGCCTGGCTTGCAGGTCAGGTCCCCAGCATGGGGCATGTGAGATGCAACTGCACATTGATGCTTCTCTCCCTCTTTCTCCCTCCCTTCCCTTCTCTAAAAATAAATAAATCAATCTTTTTTTTTAAAAAAAGATAATGTATTTGATAAGAAGCCATGAAAAAAACATTTTTTAAAATTCTATTTTAGTTTTCCTTTGTGTGTGTTTTTATTTCTTGGAATCTAGAAGAAGCCTTCACCGATTTCTTATAAATATTTATAGATTGCTCAAAAACTAGATTGAAAAAAAATAGAATACTTGCCATGCAGATTATTGTCAATGAGTAACATACTGTATGTTCTGCATTTAATGAGAGAATTGTTACGGAGGGAGGTGGGTCAGAGGCTCAGGCAGGACATGGAGGGGGGTCACCATGGGTGGTGTATTCCTCAGCTTTGCAGATTCAGAAACTGAATTTTGTCAGTGTCCCCAGAATTAAATAGTCTGCCAAGACTAATTAACTCTTATGAGATACTGATTTACCAGATGCTGACATTAATTTAAATAGGTAGCGAAACCTTTCCTGGAATACTGATGTCTTTACTTGTGTAATTAAGTAGATTTTATTTCAAAAGATGCCGTTAGTTGTTATAGACATATTTTCAGGTCATATATACTTATTGTTAGCTTAAACCTTTTTTTTTAATCCTCATCTGAGGATATATTTATTGATTTTAGAGAGAGAGGAAAAGAGAGAAGTAGAGAGGGAGAGACAGAGGGAGAAACATCAATGTGAGAGAGAAAACATCGATCAGTTGCCTCCCGTATGCATCCTGACCAGGGATCAAACTGCAGCCAGAACCCGCAAACTTGGTGTACGGACCATGCTCCAACCATCTGGGTCACCTGGCCAGGGCAGTTTTATTTAACCTTTTATACACGTAATTATTTCATAGGTGTAAATTTTGTTTCTTAGTATCAAGCTCCTTGAGGAAAGATCAAGTGGCCTGTCCAAACCTGGCCAATTCAGTGACTTCAGTGAGACTCATATCAAGGTTTCCTGATTCCATTACTGGGCTTTTCCCGTAGAGCAGAGTTTCTTGCCAGAGTATATGCATGTTTTTAATTTTCTGATTTCATAGTAAGGACTACTTATACTTCTGTTACATACTTACCACACTCTGCTTTTTGTTACAGTGTAAGATATATGCCCATCACTCTCACTGATTCATGAATTTCCCGAAGGTAGAGGTCATACCTTATTCTAATGCCATGTACACATTCAGCAATTCTATATCAGGCACCTATTATATGCCAGGCACTTAAAGAGTTTAAGTTTCGTGGTAAGTAGTTAAAAACATTAATTTAATTTTTGTTCTTATTTTTCTAGTGTATCCAGAGTGTGTACACCAATAAAATCATAAGCAGTGATCGAGATCTCTTGGCAGTGGTGTTCTATGGTACTGAGAAGGACAAAAACTCAGTGAACTTCAAAAATATTTATGTTTTACAGGAGTTGGATAATCCAGGTTAGTAGTATTCTAAGACTAACTTTTCTTTTGAAGATTTTATTTATTTACCTTTAGAGAGAGGGGTAGGAAGAGAGAAAGTGAGGGGGAGAAACATCAATGTGTGAGAGAAATATTGTTTGGTTGCCTCTCCGACGCCCCAAACAGGAGACCTGGCCTGCAACCCAAGCATGTGCCCGGGCTGGGAATTGAACTGGCGACCTTTCACTTTGCAGGATGATGCTCAACCAACTGAGCCATGCCGGTCAGGACTAAGATTAACTTTTCCCTTAAATGAGAAGGTTATGACCCTGAACAAAGAGATGCAGAGAAGAAAGCAAATAACACCTTGACTAAGAGTATGCTTCCTGCATGAGGGGGTTCTTACTGGGATGTGGACTTTTGCTATGTGGGTTATACAGCTCTGGGATGAGAAAGGGACCTTAGGCCCCTCTGTTGCCTCTGTAAAGGTGTCCACTGACACTGCTGTGACTTTTCTGCCCATTTGACCCCTTGTCTCTGATCAGGTGCTAAACGAATATTGGAGCTTACGCAGTTCAAGGGGCAGCAGGGACAGAAACATTTCCAAGACCAGATTGGCTATGGATGTGACTACTCCCTAAGTGAAGTGCTGTGGGTCTGTGCCAACCTCTTTAGCGATGTCCAGGTCAAGATGAGCCATAAGAGGATCATGCTGTTCACCAATGAAGATGACCCCCATGGCAATGACAGTGCCAAAGCCAGCCGGGCCAGGACCAAAGCTGGGGATCTCCGTGAGACAGGTCAGGATTTCCCCGTTCTTTTACATTGGTACTTGACGTTACTGCCTCTTTATAGCTGATGTCAAACGTTTGCTTTTCACCATTCAGAATAAAATGAAAGAATAAAGTAAGACCAGAGGAGACACCTTTGTAACATTCCCAGTGGAAATGGCCAGGCCCTTGGTAGCCTGAAGGACTCTGCTAGTGCAAGATTTTCTTGAATTTCATGCAACTATGAATGTTGGTTATTTGAATATGTTACCTGCAGTCATTATAGTAGCTGATTCCCTTAGCCACTTTCTCTAATTCCTGAAATGTTAATAATCAGTCTAGGTATTTGGGAGCTTTAAAAAGCATGTTTGAGCTTAACTGAAAAAAATTCTTGCTGAAAATTGTTTCCCCTCACTATTACCTGTCCTTGCCCCAGGTATCTTCCTTGACTTGATGCACCTGAAGAAACGTGGGGGCTTTGACGTATCCATATTCTACAGAGATATCATCAGTGTAGCAGAGGATGAGGACCTACAGGTCCACTTCCAGGAATCAAGCAAGCTAGAAGACCTGCTGAGGAGGGTCCGTGCCAAGGACACCAAGAAGCGTGCGCTTGTCAGGTGGGCATTGAGCCTGGGCCAACTGCCCACAAGTCTCCTAACTGATCATAAACAGTGCATGGCCCTGGCTGGGTAGCTTGGTTGGAGCATCACCCCGATGGACCAAGGTTGCAGGTTCAATTCCCCATCAGGGCACCTACAGGAATTAACCAGTCAATGCATAAATGAGTGGAACAACACATTGATGTTTCTCTCTCTCTTGAATCAATACATTAGGGGGAAAAATAACAAAAATGAAATACAGAAAAACCAAACCAAACCAAACCAAACCAGGGCATGACTTTGACCACCCTGGCTGCCTGACTCTGGGCTGTGCCTCACTGTGCTCCTCTAAAAATCTTGTTACATTTAGCCCTGGCTGGTGTGGCTCAGTGGATTGAGTGCTGGCCTGGGAACCAAAGGGTTGAGGGTTTGATTCCCAGTCAGGGCACATGCCTGGGTTGCAGGCCAGGTTCCTCAGTAGGGTGCGCACAAGAGGCAATCACACATTGATATTTCCCTCCCTTTCTCCCTCCCTTCCCCTCTGTCTGAAAAATAAACAAACAAACAAAAAATAACAAACGAACTTGCTGGAATTTAGGACAGCACAAGTTATATGCTTCGCTTCCCTGGAAAGAGCTGGTATAATTCTTCAGAATAACACAGCCCCCCGCCCCCACTTGCTGGGGGTAAACAGTTGTGGCCTAAGAGTATCCTCAGTTGCACTCACTAAGTTTATTGTCTGCTTTCTTCTCTGTAAGTTGGAGATAACAGCAGTACCTGGTATCGAGCAAAAACTCAGTGTTAGTTATTATCATTGTTGCCAAAATTGTGTTATTCTGATTTCTTATAAGGCTGAGCCCACTAGGAACCAGATTGTTAGATTCATCTTCTTTTAGAGAGCTTTGGCAATGGAATCCTAAGGGCTCTGCAATGTTTCTTCCTAAAGAGCATCAGGTTTTCATTTTAGTCTAGTTTCCTTAGTATAGGGGAATGTGACCATTGGTGGGTTTTGAGGAATTTTCAAGAGATGACTGGTGTTCTACTAGAAAACCCATGACATTGTTGTAAGGAAACTGCGGCCCAGCTCATTACTGCGGTGTCATGTTGTCATTGCTATCCTTTTCCCTTTGGAACTGTTCTCTTTCCTCAAACAAGCATGCTGTTACCTCTTCTCCCTTCCTGAAATAATGAAATGTAGAAATCTACACATTTTGGTGAGGGTGGCAGGGAGCCTAAAATCGAGGCAGATTGCTTGGATTCTGGTCCTGGCCTTTCTGCTATGTGGCCTGAGGTAAGGCATGTAACTTCTCTGAGCCTCAGTAAAATGGGAGCAAGACTGATAGCTCCTCATAGGACTGCTGTGATCATTAAGTGGGATAAACTAGGCACAGTACTTGGCACATAGTGATTATTTATAGATGTAAGCTATTCCTACTATTCTGTGGAAGAGTCATTATAGGATACTTGTTATGAATAATAATATGTTGGAGCTGTTTGAGAACCCATAATGCCTTAGGCCGAAGACCTAGAAAATTATTGCACTTGTTCTTGCTATATCAAATGATAAAATTACTTTATTGCATGGTTATTGTGTGCCAGGCACTGCCCTAAGTTCTTGGTGAACATATTAACTTATCTTAAATGACAACCCTTTCAGGTTGGTTGAAACCTACCCATTAGTAACATTAAAGACATTTCAAATGAAGTTAAACATATCAAGCAACTTGTTTTGCACTGTGGGCTTTCACATCTTCCTGGGCAAGTTACTACATACACATGATGTTATAAACTATGATGTTATACTGTAACTTTATTTTAACTTAGACTTATGACATTTTCAAGGTCAAAAGTTACCTTAGTTTATGAATATGCCTATTTAAGTCTGAGTAGGAGGAGTGTTGAACTTGCTGTTTTGGGTTAGAAATAGAACCAAGGTCACTTGAAGCCTGAGGTTGTAGTGGACCATGTTGGGCAGTGCTTTCTCCAGGATACAGCAATTTTCAAAAATTACTTTTGAAGATTGTGCAGTTTTTAATTGGTTACATTTATTCTCAGCTCTCTCAGCAGCCTTTAGACAACCGAGTTTAGCTGAGTCAGCCAGAACAATTTAAAACAGTTTGCCACCAAATGGTTGGTGTTTTTGGTAATGCCATCTGTTACTAGTACTCACCTTGGGGCCACATTGTGTGCAATTTCTCATTGACCTGGAGACGTATCAGGTGCTTGATCCAGGAGCCAACGTGTCTAGTTAGGGCTCTGTCTTAAAGCAGTGTTCTTTCCAGTGTGCAGACCAATAAACAGTTGAACTAGTTGTAACTTGTTTAAAAATGTTCTCTTCTTTAAAGTCAATACTTGCTCCTAAACATTCTACCACAGCAAAGACTGGGTTATTAATCGGACACTGCTTTTAGGTAAAGTAAAGGTGTTTAAAGCCATAAATTTCGCTCTAAACACTGATTTTCATTGCATCCTATACCTTTTGATATGTTGTATTTTCACCTTCATTTAGTTAAAAATAATTTAAATTTTCCTTGTGATTTCTTTTTTGACCTCCTCGGTTATTTAGAAGTGTACTGTTTAATTTCCAAACTGAGGTTTTCCCAGAATTCTCCTATTGTGGTTAAAGAGCATACTTTGTATGATTTTAGTCTTTTGCATGTATTTAGACTTGTTTTGTGCCCAGCTTATGATCTGTCCTAGAAAATGCTCCACATGTGCTTGGAAAAAATGTATAACATGGGTTATTTTTTGTGTTGTACCTTTTTTTTTGTTTACAATATTATATTGTAAATATTTTGTACATTGTGATTATTATAGAACACATTTTTGCTCTGGCTAGTATGGTTCAGTGGATTGAACGCCAGCCTGTGAATGGAAAAGTCGCCAGTTCGATGCCCTGGCAGGGCACATGCCTGGGTTGTGGGCTAGGTCCCCAGCCAGGGGGTATGTGAGAGGCAACCAACTGATGTTTCCCTTGCACAGCAATGTTTCCCTCCTCTTTCTCCTTTCCCCTCTATCTGAAAATAAGTAAATAAAATCTTAACAACAACAACAAAAACACATTTTCTAGAGCTCCTATTGCTTCTTAAGACATTGGTATGAATATTCCGGAGCAATATGCCACAATAGCACTGCTTAAGACCCAGATTCTAAAAAGAATAGGTCTGATAACTTGAGCCTGGATCAGATATGCCCACCTCTTGGCCAGGGAAGAGCATAGCATTTTGATTAACATTCTCCCAAAACTGCAGTGGTGGAAAGGTGATTCCCAAAGAAAAATTGAGGTTTTATTTTTAAAAGAAGGGGGAAAGGATACTAGACAGGCAGAAACAACAGAATCAGTACAGTACTTATAGGATTATTATGACAGTTAAGTGAGCGAATAAAAGGATTGGAATAGTGTTGGGCTCAATTTAAAAAACCATTATTTTCATTACAGTAAATCCCTTATTATTATTTTACATAGTTAATATATTCTGGAACTAATTTTTGTGGTATAGACCCTGAGATGGAATTACAGCAAACTCCACTATATTATTAAAATGAGTTATATTTATACTCTAAGAGCTTGTTTAGGGCTATAAGAAAGAATTAAACCAATTAAGCTTGGGTGCCATTAAGGAATTTTAGATAGGAAAGTATAATCTTTCAGTCTCTGTTTTTTGTTTTTCTCTCCTCCAGGTTGAAGTTTAAGCTCAACAAAGATATAGCATTCACTGTTGGCATTTATAATATAGTCCAGAAGGCTGTCAAACCTCCTCCAGTCAGGCTTTATCGGGAAACAAATGAACCAGTGAAAACCAAGACGCGGACATTTAATGTAAATACAGGCGGTTTGCTTCTGCCAAGCGACACCAAGAGGGCTCGGGTAAGCCTGCCTCCTTACTGAATTTTGTCTCATTGAAGGGTTAACAGGGAGGGGAGACACTGATCAGCTTAACCAGTTAACTTCCACGTACTCATCTTTCTAGCCAAGCTCTTAAAACTTTGGAACTATGGCATCCAGGTCAGTGGTACCTTGGAGCTGAAAAGTTAGAGCCAGTGTTTGAAGGAGATGTCAATGAAGACTTCAGCCCCTGTTCACTCAGCACAGGCTGCTCTGTGTCTTACAGTCTAATTCCTTGCTCAGGTACAATAGCAAAAAGTGTTGAAGTTAACCAGGGAGCGGAGGTAGGGAAAGTGTGGTAGGTGTCAAATGCACTCGTTTTTTTCTTTTCTTTTCTTTTTTCAGGAGAGGATTCTTTTGTTTGTCCAAACTAACCAGATTTTTCTTGTGCTTTGAAATGATATACATATGCCTTTCTTAATTTGAAAGACAAACTTAGAATGTAGAACATTATCTTTTCTCATCTTCTCACCTTTGTTCAGTCTGTGGAAGGGTTTGATATCTGAAATTAAAATCAAATGAATCATTCTTCCTTTTTGATTATGCAAAGTGTGGGAGAAAATCTGAAATTTTAGATAAGTTCAGGGCCTAGAAAGATCAACTAAGTGACTAAAACTAGATATTTTGATTCAGCCAATGAGATGTCTTTGGAGCGCAGATTTCAAGCCCAGGTGTTCTGCCCTGCTTTCTGAAGAGGAGAAGAAGAAATTTTCTTTTCCATTTTGGAAGTAATTAGTTTTCCATGTTGGTTTATTCATAGGAAGCTCTTCTAGTCACTGAGTTTCTTTCTTTCTTTTTTTTTTTTAAAGATTTTATTTATTTATTTTTAGAGAGAGGGGAAGGGAGGGAGATAAACATCAATGTGAGTATATTTATTGGTTGCTTCTCGCATGATCCCAAATAGAGACCTGGCCCACAACCCAGGCATGTGCCCTAACTAGGAATTGAACCGGTGATCTTCCAGTTCATAGGCCAGTGCTCAATCCACTGAGCGACATCAACCAGGGCACTGAGTTTCTTCTTTGATTCAGTGTCCCTAAAAAACCATTGAGGGCTCTGTTTTTCATAAAACCCAAATTTGACTCTTGCTTAGTGCTGTCACTAGTTACTTATCTAGGATCAAAAGGCAAACATTGAAGTTTGGACACGCACACATCTGCCTCCCACACTAACAGACCCAGCACACTCCCTGACACAGGTCCTCTCAATGAATAGGTGTGGGTTTTTCTTTTTCCGTTCTTTTTTGTTCTTTTTTTAAATAGGTGTGGTCTGAGCATTCTTTGTGTGTCAGGGATGAGCACTCCATACATGTTAAGTGAGGGAAGGCACAAATGCTTGAAGGGCATGGTCTTTGGTACCAGACAGATCTGGGTTTAAAGCCCAGGTCCGTTGTGTAACCTGGAACAAGTTACCAACCATTGAGCCTCAGTTCACTTATCTGTAAAACAGTTTTTAACACCTACCACCACCGACTGTTACAGAAGATGCATTGGATGACAGATGTAAAGGACCTGCTGGGCACTCAGTAAATGTTAATTTCTGGAGGTAGAGGGACGATGCCCCTGGTGAGCCACACTTCTACTCTTTAGAAGAAAGCTGGTTTTGACTCATTAGGGTTATGTGGCAACCATCTTGCATCTCCAGCCCCCTGTCTATGTGGCCACTCCTTGTTCCCTGCCTTCAGATCTATGGGAGTCGTCAGATTGTACTAGAGAAAGAAGAGACAGAACAGCTAAAACGATTCGATGAACCAGGCTTGGTTCTCATCGGCTTCAAGCCCCTGATAATGCTGAAGAAGCACCATTATATTAGGCCCGCCCTGTTCGTGTACCCTGAGGAGGCCTTGGTTAATGGTAAGTGGCACAGACTGAGGACAAGGAATGAATAGCACAGAGGGCAACTTGCTGAGCAGCATTTCCTGAAGGGGGGGTGCTGCTTGGAAACTCTGTTGGGTGTGTTCCTGGGGCATTCTGAAGGTGTTTCATGCTCAAATAAAGTTTGCAAAGGTGGGGCTAAACAAAGTGAAAGAGATTTCTTTAGAACCTATAATACGCTGGTATGCATTGTGAATGTCCAGGAGGGGATATGGAATTAGTATTTTAAAAACTTACTTCCTATGGAATTCTTTATTTGAGGCATCAGATAGAGAGTTTGGAAAAAAAAAAAAAAAAAAAAAAGGGAACTTCTTCCCTAGTGTTGGCAATTAAAGATGATATGAACTCAGCCATTGTGTGTGGCTTGTTGCTCAGACCCATATTTCTCTGTGCTGTAGCTAATGAACCTAATGAACCTGATTTGACCTGGTTGGTTTTCACTAGCAGCTGAGGTTTATGTTATTAGCCTAAAGATAGTAAAAGTGAACTGACATTAATAATTCACGCGCCTAAATGGAGCATTTGAGGCATCCAGTCTCTTATTGGTTACCACACTTCTGCTGCCCCCACTTTCCCCTCAGCTCTGGGTCATCACCCCTTTCTCCTGATGTATCATAAGCCCTTTTAAAAAAAATGGAAGACAATTTGTAGGCTTATGGCACGGGCTAAGAGGGAAGCAAGGAGGAGACACCTTTAGGCTGTAGACCCCTCGGATGTTTCCTTTCCAGGGAGCTCAACCCTGTTCAATGCTCTCCTCACCAAGTGTCTGGAGAAGGAGGTCATGGCAGTGTGCAGGTACACCGCCCGCCAGAACATCCCACCTTATTTTGTGGCCTTGATGCCACAGGAAGAGGAGCTGGATGACCAGAAAATTCAGGTGGCTCCCCCAGGTACGTGCAAGAGATATTTTCAGTACTTCTGAACCTTGCTTGGGCTTTGCAATCGCTCATGGGATTCCAGCTCAGAACCGCTGTACCAGAGTCTCCAGGAATGGGGCCTGGGAAGTGTGTTTTGAAGATTTCACAGGTGAGCCTGACGCACTGTGCGCAGCACGCACAACTGCACGAGGCAGCTCTGCAGCCAGGGTTGAGGGATGGCTGCACCAGGGACTGTTTGCAGGCTACCGACCCAGGTTGGTGGGTCCACTGCTGATGCCTGTCCTTACTAACAGCCATCGTTTGGCACCCTTGTAATGTTTCATGTTTGGTTTATCTCCTGTATACACCAAGGCAGTGAGGTATAGTGGAAAGACCACAGGTTTTGAAGTTAGACTTTTATCTTATGCTATGTATCTGAAAGCTTACTTTCTTTTGTTTTAGGCCCGTCTCTGCCACTCATTAGCTGGCTCTTTTGGGCAAATAATATAACTTTTCTATTTATACTCCTTATGTGCAAAGATGAGAACACCTTTCTCTCAAGGTTGTTTCGCATTTGAAATATGTTAATAAATATCGAGGTGCCTGGAACAGAGTAGCCTGCAGATCATGGCCTTGCTTCTTCTTTAACCATGCCAATAAATATTCACTTTATAAAGTAACTCTTGGAACATTTTATACTTCTAAGCCTGGTCATTACAGTGCTCAGGAATAGCTTTGTCTATCACTTACTAAGCTATTGTCACTCACCTCCAGATCTACCCTTTAAGGCTCTGAGGCTGAGACTCTCCAAACCCAGTTTCTCCTCTGTGGGCTGGCTCTGTCAGGAGCCGGTGCTGGGGGAGACTGCAGGGCAGAGGAGAGCGAGGGGCACGCTCCTCCTCCTCGCTCCGTGCTGTCAGCATTGTCTGTGAAGGCCTTTCACACGACGGCGGCGGCGGCAGCAGCTGGTTCCAGTGTCCAGATTTTTTGGTCTTTCTAGAACCAGCCCATGGCTGGACCGAGTTCAGCCTGAGTGCCCTCACCTCTTCGCTTTCAGTGTGTGGTTGAGAGTGAGGAACAAAGGTGGGCTCAGAGCAGGGCCTGATGGAGCTGGGACTCTGTCTTCCAGGGAGTAGGCACTGTCTATCTGGCCTTGGTATATCAAAAAAGCTCGAGGTGGAACCAGCTGTTGCCACCAGGTGAAAAGCCCGGGCTGGGCAGCCGTGACAGGAACAGGAAGTATGCGAGGAGGAGGGCTTCTGCCTTGGGGTCACCCTGTGGAGGGAGTCTCTTAGGCAGATGCTAGCAGAAATCGGCTGGTCCCAGCCCCAGCATCACAGGATGCAGAAGCGTGCATGTGGAGCTGAGGGACAAAGGACAACTCAATCACTGAAACCTTCTGTTAAGTCAGATCTCAGAAATCTTATCTCCCTTCTTCAGGCTTCCATCTCATCTTCTTACCCTATGCTGATGATAAGCGGAAGGTGCCCTTTACTGAAAAAGTCATGGCAAACCCAGAGCAAGTAGACAAGATGAAGGCTATTGTTCAGAAGCTCCGCTTCAAGTACAGGTGAGGAGTGGGTCAGTCACAGGCTTCTCCTGGAACTGCCTCCTGAGTTGAGCTCCTGTTGGAAATGTGAGTTAAGCATAGACCAAGAGAAGGAGATTTTACTCCTTTCAGTTAACTGATAGCTTATTACTTTTTAAAAGCAATAAGCTTTTTTTAGAGACTGGAAATTCTTATTATGCAGGATGAGGCAAAAATAGGTTTACAGCTGTGAGTACTATGCAAAACACAGTGTTTATTATTGTATTATTTTCCATGCAAACAACTGTAAACCTACTCTTGCTACAGCCTGTATTGTGTCGCACCGCCGCGGGGGAGCACCGCAGAGAGCACGGTGCTCCCTGAACCTGAGGGACACCGGCTGGGGGCCCGCTGAGGTGGGAGCAGGGCTCTGAATCCTGCAGAGCCCGTCCTGGGGTTGTCACAGATGAGGGGGATAAACACAAAACATTGCAAACACTTCTCTGTTTGCCGGGAGAGCAGACGGGGGCACTTCCCTCTTACTAGAGAAGGCCGTGGCACATCTCTCTCGTGGGGAAGACCCTGTCGCCCTTTGTTCCAAGCCTTTTATTGAAAACCTTATCAGTGGGCTAGGCAACAGGAATGCATACGTAACCTCGTTACATTAGCATGTTAAGTTTCACAGAGAAGAGATACCTTTAAGAAAACAAGTGACAGGTATTCACTGCTTTATATGGGTCCAAGAGGAGACCAGTCTAAACAAAAGAGAATGAAGACAAGGGCAAGCGCCTTAATGATAAAGGGTAAGTGGTACAAATAATGTGAAGGTCCTTCGCAGCATGAGCTGGCCAGAGATCCGAGGGAAGAACAAAGCCCACTTTAAAGAAATTACTTTTAGGCCTGATTTCCCTGGCAACTGCCAGACCTGATTTAGAGCTGACTCCTGCACTGTTTCAAGCCTGAGCCAGGTGTGGGGAGGGAACCACCAAGAGATAAGGAGACTGCTTCTCAGCTGCAATGAGGACTCCAGCCATGGCCAAGCCAAGCCAAGCCAAGCCGAGAGGTGTGGGGGCCTTTTTGCCCCTTCTCCGTGTCCCCCAATTTCTTGTCTGCTGCCTGTATCAGTCAATGCCTGGCTTAGGTTACCCCTCCCCTGAGGGGTCTTACCCATCACTGGCAGGGACCGTCACAAGGCAAAGCAGAGAGGCAGGAGCTACGCCCCTGCTGGGTGGGGCAGGTCTTGTCTCCTCAGGAGCCTGTTTCTCCAAGGCCTCCTGATTATTTCTAGCCCTGGGGCTCTCTAGCCTGTTTGGTAGGGTTACAGCTCCTGAAACCAAGCAGAGCGTTTCCCAGCGGTATTGAAGACTGGAATTGTGCTGAATGCTTAGAGCTGGTTGACCTGCTGTGCTGTGCTCAGAAAGCCACGTGAGTTTAGCAAAGTTCAAAGAAGCAGCAGTGAGGAGAGGATTCTTAGTTGGCCTTTTCCTTGATTTACACACACAATGAGTAAAAGTAAGTAAATCCAATGTAAATTGTCAGGATTAAAAGGATGATCATATATTTCAAGTCATTCCCTTTCACGTACACATAGACTATCTCTCAGAACCTACATAATGTAACAGACACCAAACAGTTTTTTTTTCACATTTCACCTTTGTCCTTAGGCTACTTCCTTATCTCTACCTACGACCTCTAGACAAAGTAATACCTTCCCCTCCAGATGTGGTCCTTTATGGGGAAATGGAAGCATTATTAAGATTCTCTCCTGTGCCAGGCACCGTTCTAGATACAATTCTAACATAATCTCATTTATTATTCTTAAGAATCCTGAAAGGTATGTTTCATGCCCAATTTTACAGATGAAGAAACTGAGGCTTAGTAGAGGCCACTTGTGCAGACTTATCCAGGTGGAAAGAGCTAGATCTTTCTGACTCTAGATTCTTCCTCTTTTTACTCCCATGCTGTGAATGAGTACGGGGAGAAGGAGTCCCCAGGTCTGTTGCCTCCATCTTTCATCATCTCTCCTTTGTCTTGTCTCTGTACTTACATAGCCCTGCCTACTCCATTTCTGTCTCCGCCCAGAGCTTCCAGTGACAGGCAGGAGGGCAGCTATTGTTTGCTTTTAAATTAGCTTTTGGATCTCTAGCATCAGACAGTAAATTGAATATTGGAGAAAGAGAAGTTGATTCAAGAGACAAGATTCTCAACTCTTTATTTGGGACGTTTTTCTCAGTTGACCTTGGACCTGTTCTGAGTTGGGTTTATTTTATTGTATTATTTTTAAAATGTTTATATTTTTGTTTTAAAATTAATTTACGATGACCATTATTATTGTTTTTACAGAAGTGACAGCTTTGAGAACCCAGTGCTCCAGCAGCACTTTAGGAACCTGGAGGCCTTGGCTTTGGATTCAATGGAGCCTGAACAAGCAGTAGATGTGACATGTAAGAAGGCTGTGACTGAGCTGAGAAGCTCCTGCCGTGGGAGCCTTTCTTATTGACCTCACTGTGGGCAGTAATGAGGATGCATTTCCCAGCACCCTCTCAAGACTTCACCCCGTTGTCCAGGCCACCTCTGTCTGAGAGATTCTAGGCTCGCATGGCCCGCCTGGGCACACATTGGGCTAGTGCTGCAGTGAGAGGAGGAGAAAGTGCCAGGCTCCTGAGGCCGGCCTCTGAGCTAGGCTGCCCTGTGGCCACATGACGGTAAAAGTTTCGAAAACAAAACCTATGCCATTAATTGGGTGCCTGCGGTGTGCCAGGCACTGTCCTGTGTGCTTGCTCAGTTCTCCCTTGCGACTGCGAGCGAGGCACTGCGTTGGTCTTGAAAGCTCCTGGCACCCCAGCCCCTCCCCCGCCCCCCGCCTGCCCCCACACCTCATTCCGTTAGTAGGTCTTGTCAGCCCTGCCACTGTACATGTTTGTAGTCCCACCTGGCCCACCCCGCACCCACACACGCACTGCTTCAGCCTTCTGTCTTACCTGCCTCCCATTCACACTCCACACATCTGTCGGAGGGGTCTTCCTGAGATGCAGACCTGATCATTCCACTCCCTTGCTCACAGGCATCCAGGGTTTCCCCGCTGTTCCTGCGATGAGTTTTAACTCCTGGCAGGCTTCCCAGGGTTCTGTGACCCCGCGAGCTTGCCTTCCCCGCCTCCTTGCTGGGCCTGCCCTCCTCACACTGTTTTCGGGCTGTGTGTTCCCTGCTGTTTCTCGCCCTGTTCCTTTTCCTGCTTGGACTAGTACCTGCCTGAGGAAGAACGATCAGCTTTCCCGAAAGCCTTTCCTGACCCCTAGCCCCACCCCAGCCTCCACTGTGCACTGTACTGCGCCTGCATTTACGGCCTTGCCCAGCTGTATTGCATGGGTGTTTGACCACCTCCTTACCCTGCCTCAGTGGTGAGCCTCTTGAGGACAGACTTGGTTGAATCCCCAGAATCCAGCCCAGTTTTCAGCTCTACCACTCCCTAGCTGTTTGACCTCAGGCAAGTCATTTAACCCATTTTCCTCCTTTGTAAAACTGGGAGACAAGTTTATCTAACCCAGAGGTTAACCAAGCATTTAGAAGGGTGCCTGGCTATAATAAGTGCTTATTAAAGGCAATTGTTAAAAGGCACTTGGTAAATAAATGTCAGACAAACTTTGGCCAGCCCAACTGTCCACTTGTGGACCCCTCTGTCCCCAACCTCCCCCAACCCTGTTAGGTGCTTACCGGAAGCAAGGGTTTGTGACCCACCAGGCCACTTTTCCCGTGTTTTGATTTTCTAGTGCCCAAAGTTAAAGAAATGGATAAAAGACTGGGTTCCCTAGTGGATGAGTTTAAGGAGCTTGTTTACCCGCCTGATTACAATCCTGAGAGAAAAGTTCCCAGGCGAAAACAAGGTGAGAGCTGGGTGTGGACATCCTGTGGGCTATTTCGAAAACTCGTCTTTATGGTCCTACCACAGAGGATAATGCCCCTTCTGAAATTTCTCTACAAACCTACATATTTACATATGCAAACACACATTTCAGCATAAATGGAATAGTATTCATGTTTCTAGTTTATTTTGTCACTCACCTGTATATGTTGGTGAGTTATTTATATCCACAGGTACCTATCTACCTCATTTAAAAAAATAAGGTTACAGAGTAGTTCATTGGATAGACATGCTAGTTTATTCAGCCAGACCCTTATCGACGGGTACGCTGCAGTGAGCATGGACAACCGTCATGCACCAGTGGGAGCAGATCCATAGGATAAATTCTTTGCACTGGAATTTCTGGGTCAAGGTGTAAACATTTCAAGTTCTTGTAAGAATTGCCAGTTTGCCTCTGAAAAAGTGATACAGTTTATTCCCCATCCAAGAAGGGATGGGTGTGTTTATACTCTCACCAATCCTGGACTTTATTTACTATTTAAAAAATTTTTTTTCATAAAAATAATAAAAGGAAAATTATATTGTTTTGATTTGCAATTCTCCACTTATGAGTGAAATGTAGTTTCCTTGAACTTTTTTTTCTATGAACTTCCAGTTTTTAGCCTTAACCCTTTTTTTCTTTCTTCCCTCCGCCACAAAGATTTTATTTATTTACTTTTAGAGGGAGAGGAAGGGAGGGAGAGAGAGAGGAAGAAAAACATCCATATGGGAAAGAAACATCAATTGGTTCCCTCTCGCATGCCCCCACTGGGGGCCCAGCCTGCAACCCAGGTGCGCCCTGACCAGGAACTGAGCTGGTGACCATTCCGCTCTCAGGCCCATGCTCAACCCACTGAGCCTCACCAGCCAGGGCTGTCCTTTTTTTTACTGCTAGATCCAAAGCACTGTACCATGTGTGACTCAGTTTCCTGGATAGCTGTGAGTTCTTCACCATTTGGGAATAGTTCGTAGGTTGTAATCCTTTTGGTTATTGTTGGTCAGGTAAAGCCAAATTTGGGTCTTGCTTGCCTAAAAGCCCAATGAGGGCGGTTGAGCTGTGGGAGGGTAGGTGTGGCCGTGATCCTTTACCCTTTTTGCATCTGAAGTGACTCGTGCCCTGTGTGAACATAGTTCGTTGTATCTGAGGGTGCTCTAGCGATACTTTATTTTTTTACTTTTTATTTGTGTTGATTTTAGAGAGAGGAAAGAAGAGAGCAAGAGAGAAACACCAACTTGTTTTTCCACTTATTTATGCATTCATTGGTGATTTTTGTATGTATCCTGACCAGGAATTGAACCCACAACCTTGGTGTATTGGGGCAATGCTCTAACTAACTGAGCCACCTAGCCAGGGCATGATGTACTTGTGTATCTCGCTCAGCCTGCGCATTCTTATCACCTAGCATAGTGCCTTGGTACTCACCTGGTGCTCTGTATATGCTTTTGGAAGAAAAGAGGGAAGGAATGAATGACTTGCTCATTTAGAGTGAGCAACAGTTTCAGGTAAACTGATAGCACTCAGACTACTTTTAACTCCCTCCTAGGTTGATACAGTTTTGATTTTATGCTTAAATGAAGCTGCCTTATCAAGACACCTGTGTTTTCCATGGTGTTCTCAGTGGGCATCACAGCCCTATGGAAAATGGCTGACTGCAGCCCAGATCTTGTGAGGGTCTATGCAGTGCAGCTGGGATGCCACTCACTGGTGGCATTTCCAGTCACTCTCTCCTGACCTTTTCCCTCAGATGATGGAGGTTCTGGAAGCAAAAGACCCAAGCTGGACTTGTCTGAAGAGGAACTGAAGGTTCATGTGAGCAAGGGCACGCTGGGTAAGCTCACTGTGCCCATGCTGAAGGAAGCCTGCAGGGTGTACGGTCTGAAGGGCGGCATAAGGAAGCAGGAGCTGCTAGATGCACTCACTACGCACTTTCAGAAGGACTGACCAGGGACTGGACACCCAGCCATCCTTCCACCCTGTAGCCAGGCTGCCTGGTTTTGGTCTCATCAAGGTAAAACATGTTCCTCCTGAGCCAGGAAGAGTCTGCCTGACAGAAGCCAGAACTTTATGAGACTTCCTGTTGCCATGGAAACATTGTAGTCCTCCCACTTTGCAGTGCCTTATTCTATTGTCTGAATAGAGAGCCCTAATTTTGTACTATATACTTTTCTTTAGTGTGAAAGAGAAAGATGTGTCTGCCTCGCATCTATTGCTATTGGTTATTAGCTTAATTTTCTCTCCCACTTGTAACACAAATCGTCACAATGTGAACAAAATAAACACCAATGATGACAGGGGAGAAATAATGATGAATAACGACAGATGAACTTACTTCAGGAATGACAAGCTTAGCAAGATCCTGTCCTCTCACCTGTTTTCCTGTGTGTTACATTAAGATCTAAAGATCAGATTTCAGAAGCAATAAGAATGTAACATTTCTAATACTGGTACCATTTGCTTCATGAATAAATAGCACCCCCTCACGTTGCATTCCTTTTAACGTGACATTCAAGTATATAAAGGTGCCTGGTTTCTGCTGCTATAATTTGGGTGCTAGTGGAAGTGAAATCAGTTATTTTTCAGGGGAGCTGTAGCAAGTTCAAGAAGATGGGGAGAGGGGCTAGTGTCAGAAGGGGAAGAGGAGGGTGCTAGTGTGGGAAGGGGCAGAAGAGGGGAGTGTCTCCCCTTGTGTTCCTCCCCCATCCTTTCTCCACCTACCTGTCCCTTACCTGTTCTTTCTGCTACTGCTTTTGAAAAATTTGCTGGAGATAGGAAGGAAAGCTTCCGGAAGGGCTGTGTCCTCCAAGAATGGCTTGAGATTCAGGGTTTTTAGGTCCTGTGTCTTTCAGGACTAGAATGAGCATCTCATAGGGAGAGTGTAGGAGGGGTCAAGTCACTCTTGTAAGAGACTTTCCATTTTGAGTTCTTTGCCCTGAGCTTTTTTTTTTTTTTTTAGACTTTATTTAGTTTTAGAGAGAGGGGAAGGGAAGGAAACATTAATGTGTGGTTGCCTCTCATGTGCCCCCCCTACTAGGGAACCTAAGCTGCAACCCAGGCATTTGCCCTGACTGGGAATTGAACCGGGGACCCTTTGGTTTGCAGGCGGGCACTCAGTCTGCCGAGCCACACTGGCTAGGGCTGCCCTGAGCTTTATAAAGTTGTTGTTTTTAACTTGTTTTAGCTTTTTGTTTTATTTGGAAAGGAGATGTATATTCTTGTTTGGATTTCTTATCTGAGGGAGAGGGAACATAATTCTCTAACTAGAAGGGATGCTGCAGGGATGCTGGGTGAAGTCAGGCAAAGGGGAAAACTGGACAACTGGTAGCATAAACATGTTTTTTAAAAGAAATGGTTTTTCTTGACTATGGATCCAATAAAAAATTGAAAAACAATTTAAATTTTTAAAAAAGATGCTTTTGAGTACACAGCAGGACAATGCAAAACCATTTAACAGAGGAAGTGCTCATTCATGATGCAGAGAATGAGTTCAAGGGTCAAACAACAAACATCCACCCATAATGTAAATGATAGTAGAAAATTTCTGCAGGAGATCTGCGACAAATAGCCGCTGTGTGAGCTGTGTCTCTGTAAATTAACGATGCTTGCCTTCTGCTGTTGAACTGCCCAGAAGAAACATCACATCCAAACGTAATTTGGTTCGGCTTTTGTAAGCTCGCAGGTCAGCACTCAATCCACTGAACCACACCAGCCTGGGCCAAAATAAAATAAATTTTACAGGCAACATTCATAAACCTATTTCTTAGGTGGCTGGATGAAAATGACTAGATTTCCTTTGTATTCATGTCCAGGCTTTAGGAATTGTTCATTCAACACTGTGGAGCATCTCTGTTAGGGCACTGCTGCAGGTGCTAGGAATCGCGCAAGTTCTGGCTCTCTAATGAGGGCAATAATCAGAAAGCAATCTAGTATTAGTTAAGGACACATCGAATAGAACGCTACAGAGCTGGGGGAAAGGCCCTAAAGGAGTGGTATTTGAATTAAGACTAGCATGAGGAGAAAGCCACCAGAACACCAAGTACAAAGAATTTGAGAAGTAAATGGGTATGGAGTGTTCCAGAAACTAAATATGAAACACTGAGCAAAGATAAAATGTGGTGAAGCAGACAGGGGACAGGCACTGGAGACCATTAGAAGAGCCACAGGGCTTTTATAAGGTGATTGCACACTGACACCCTACCCTTTGAAGGCTTGCAATGTAGCTGTGGGAACTGAGCCAACACTTCTTAGGGGCCTAGCGGGTAAAGCCTTAACTTTAGCCTTAGTTTTAGGTGGAGGTAGGACTTATTTCCCTCAGCCCCCAAATTATTTGAGTATGACTATAAAGACATATATTAACACAAGCACGAGGAAGAACTACCCCAAACCCCACCATCCACAAATATCAAGCTGCTGGGGTGGGAGTGGGGGGCCGTGTGGAAACAGTGGAGTGAGCTGCGGGACAGGACTGACTCGCAGGCACAGAGCAGTGCTCGGCAGGCCTGGGTGGTTCCCAGGCCCCCTGGGTACCTCCTGCTGCAGTGAGCACAGGGGCCCAACCTGGCCAAGAGGAAACCACACGCAGTCCGACCTTTCATCTGACCATTCAGGACCCAGTTACTTGTCTCTCTGAAAGCACACATCTCAAGCTGAGGTGCCAGGCTCTCACCGTACACTTCCTCTCAGATAAAAAGCAGAGGCAGGTGAGGGGGCAGTGGCTTCAGTCACCAACACCAATCCCTCCTCCCCCACCAGCATGTCCCAGGGGTTACTAGGACACTACTACTTCTGCAACAGTGATTCTTAACTAGGGGTGACTTTGTCCCCAGGGACCATATGGCAATGTCTGGAGGGAGAGCTTAGGACTGCCATTGGTCTCTAGCCGGTAAAGGCCAGGACACGCTCTACCGCCTACAGCATACAGGCAGCCTCCTGCCACAGAGATTACCCAGCCCAGGATGCCCAACAGTGCTGAGGACGGAAACCCTGTTCTAGAGTGACAATGCCTCAGTGATGAAGTCTGCATAAGACATTCTGAACCGCCAGAAGTCCCCTGGGAGTGATGGCTTTTGCACAGCTTCTTTGTGGAAAGTTTGAGAAGCTAACACCATTCTAATAATGCCAAAGAGTTCTCCATTCAAGTATTAGCTGGATACCTGCCAAGAATCACACTTTCTTCACACTGGAATATGAATATATTTCTTTACTAGGACTCACAAAACGACACATTAGCACTGTCCTTCTGATGTGATAAAGATACATACATCTGACCCACACCATGGCAGGAAATGGGGTAAGGGCTCTCAGAGCTGGTACCAAATGTCCGCTGAAGAACTCTGTTCACCAGAGAGAGGATGTTTCCTTGGACTCCATCATCTCTGCTGCAGCTTCCAGGTCTCCAGACTTGCCCAGAATCCTTCATTTCAGCACCACTTGATCCTATTTTCCCTTGTCATTCCGGACTCCTTTAAGACCCAGGTCAGCTGCCCCATGTCTCACTAGCTCAGGGCACTTTTGGAATTCAGCAGCACCCATCCTTTTAGCCTGCTGCTGTCCTGCCACCCCCAGGGGCACAGCTGGGGACTGGGGGCGGGGGAGACGGATGCAAGGTTGTATTACCAAAAGCAAATGGCAGGGGTATATTAGCAAATGACACGTGGGCATACAACTAAAAACCTCACTGAATACATGCTTCCCTCCCCAAATGATACACAATCCCCTAGAGAGCAAAGGAAACCCCTAGATCACTTAAATGTATATGGAATGCATCTGTATGCCAGGCACATGGGCAAATCAAATGGGCGGTGCCTACTTAACCGCGCCCCGCACACAGGAGGGAGCTAGTGCCTGTGAGCTGGAATCCCATCTCCATCCTGGCTCTTCCCTGCCTCTGAATGGTGTCACCACTCTGCTTCCACCTGTTTTGGGTCTCAGTTCATTTTTCAAAAGGGAGGGAAGCTGGCAGAGAGAAGGTGGAAGGGGAGATTTAGGGAAGGGGTGGGGTAATGACCTGTTAGATAAAAACAAAAATAATACAAAAATGTATAAACTAGATTTACTAGAACAATATTTTATAACAACGGCAGGTAGCTGGAAATACTACATGCTAACACAGACAATATGATACACGACCTTAGGGGGAGGAGTCAGCGGGAGAGTGCGGCAGAGCCATGGGTTTAGACTAAGAGCCTTTCTATGGACTGCTGAATGGACTGGATCTGCTGCTTCAGCTGTGAGCCTTCTTTGATGGTGACCGAACAGGCGATGACAGGCCTGGAGACCCCACAGGCCCGCCCCAGCGCCTGCTTGGAGCGCACAAACACGTAGGGCACATTCTTGTCTTCACACAGCAGTGGGAGGTGCAGGATGATCTCCAGCGGTTCTGCGTCGGCGGCCATCACAATGAACTCAGAGATGCCTCTGTTGAGGGTTTTGGTGGCTGTGGACAGGACATGAGGCCAATAAGTGATACAGGGTTTGGGCAGGGAAGCCATAATGATGTAACAACATAATGACATTACATAGTGACACAATGACAATTTCCGAGGAAAAGGAAGAAACACAGGTGAAAGAAAGCTGCCCACCCCCCCGGCACGAGCGACTGTGTCCCGCAGTGGCCCTGGAAAGTGGTACGGGGTTCAATCACCCAGCGGCCGTCCTCAGTGCCTTTCTGAAACCGTCCATTCAATCCACCAGCTCTGCCAGAGCACGTCCTGTATCAGACAGACCCCTTCTTTCCTCTCTGTACCACCCATCCCAGGCACTACCATCTCTCGCTTGGCTGACGGGGACAGCTTCCACACAAGCCCCACCAGCACGAAGCAGTGTGCCGCGGCACTTCTCACACTCTGTGATTGGCGAGGTTGGACCATCCCAACCTGCCAGGATCAACATGGCAGGCTCACACCACATGCCCTCACCAAGGAAGCGCACCACCTCACAGCACCATTCAAGTGCTCTTTCCTGACTGCTTCTGTCTGCAGCCCAGTGCCCGCCCACAGACCACGCCCTGCATCTCTACGGCTGGGGCACTCGGCTCGGCACAGGCCCTGGGGCAACACCGCCCAAATTCAAATTCTGGCTCTCACTCCCCTTAGAAGGTAAAGGTGACAGACAAAATGTTAACAATGGGTGGGTCTAAAAAAAAATTCTCAGTCCATTAACCTTCAGCATCTAATGCCAAAATGCTGCTCTTCTGTCCTCCCATGGGCCTCAATCAAGAGCGTCCAGCCCTCTTTCCGCAGTGGAGATCTAGACCAGGGACTCCTGACAGAGACAGGCGCCTTCGACACCCGCCCCGGAACACTCTGGCCGCCTTACCCTCATTGGCTCCTTTCCGAAGTTGCTTGTAGTTACATGACTGCTGAACGAGGTCCAATAGTTTTTTGGTGAGGTGGGCGTCTGCGAGAGGGTAGGCTTTCGGATTTACATCAGCCTCAGTCTGTGGGGGGAAAAAAGCATCAGTAAAATGGAACCAAAACTTGTTCCAAGAAAGTCACAAAATAACAACTGAGGCACAATGGTCAGCTTACGGCTCCCCTCATGTCCAAACACACACTTAACAAATGACACTGGCCTGCACTCTCCCAACTTAGAAAAACTGAATTAGGATTTAAAAAAAAAAAAAAAGTCATTACATAATCTAATAATGTATAAATAAGGTATATACAATAATGTGTACTTTTTAACTTGTCTCTCTTTAGCCTAATGTTTAGTAATACAACAGCAAATGGATTATAAATGGGCTCCCATGGCTCAATATCCATGAGTCACAGGGGGGTAATATTTAAATTTGGATTTCCATACTCCACTTTAAGTTCACTGAATCAAAATTAAAGTATAATTTACTTTACCCCCCTTTGCAGCACAAAGTTTTCTCTCTCTATTCCCCATTCAGTGTTTGAATCTCCCTTTGTCCTCAGGAAGAACCCTTGTTTCCAAAACATCAAAATATTTTCTCATTTATTCAATCCATGATAACATACAAAATAGTTTCAGAGTTGCTGTAACAATACTGCCTCTACCAACAACAAACTCACCAAGGTCAAAATACCTTTGTGTTGTTAGAATATATTTGACTAAAGCCACCCAGTCAGAGTACTATATTCAAAAGTTATTTAAATTAAAAATTTTCCTGTGGTTATCAATTCAATATACAATTAAGATTCCTTTGTATTCAGTCTGCTTTTTAAAAAACATTCTTTTATATTTTATTTTTCAAATATATAAAACACCAAATGTTTCCAAAGTCAAAGTTATGCTAGTGAACCAACAGTGCTTTTGAGAACTGGTAATTAGTAAAGGCATCTATCTGGCATTTCTTATACCGACCATATTGCCATGTAACCAAATAGCAGATGAGAAGTTTCTCTTGTAACATTATCCCCACCTAATAAAGGAATGATACAATTAAGCATCACCACCTTATAACCTATATTAATTAACCAATCCAGACATAAATTAATGGATCTAGACTTTGATTAACAGCTACTGACACTATAAAAAATAATGTGCTTATCACCCCTCTTGAAGAACAAAACATCTCTGATCAAGTAGTCTTAGGGGGAAAAAACCCAAATTTGATCAAGACTTTGATTCTAATACTAGATATTTAATATTAAGGAATTATTAAATTTGAGTGTTGCATTGCAGTTGTTAAATATTTTACAGATATATACTATAATACCCACAGATAAAATATTTTATCATTGGAAATTGCTTCAAAATAACCCATGAAGGGAACAAACTGGGTGGAATCTGCCCTAAACTATTCCTTCCACATTTCAAGTTTAACCATTTTCATTAACTTCTCATTTGTTTTTCCTGTGATTTTTACATGTAACATGTAACCCAAATGCAGCCCCATGTCACTATCTCATGCACCCAGCAGTTTGCCGGTGGCAGTGTGGTCCAGCTCTGGGTGTGGGGACCGGACCTCGCAGGCAGCGTGCAGCACCGCCACCTGTGTACAGGCAGTGACCCGTGGGTGGTGACCAGTGGTCTTTTGAGACTGAAATGACAACAAAATGACCCACCTCCAGAGAAGGAAGTGACATGGGAGTGACGCCAGGGGAAGTGACATCAAGGGCAGATTTCACCAAGACATCTGGTCCTTAACACATGCCTCTGGGTGAAATCTGTCCCGATCCCTGCCTGGGTGATGAATTAGGTGAAGGCTAGAGGAGTGCCCTAAAGTGGGCAAGAAAACCTCCTTATTATGTCTGCTCTTCTCCATACATTTTAGAATTAGCTTTACAAGGTCCACAGAAAAGCCTGCTGGGAAAATCTGTCTGATTCACAGATTTGATGTAATACCAGTTCTGGTGAAACACCTTTAGGATGCAGAACCTGTCAAACCATTACAGAGAGAGAGAGAGAGAGAGAGAGAGAGAGAGAGAGTGTGTGTGTGTGTGTGTACACACATACACTAACGCTTTAGTGCCTTCAAAGAAAGTTTTAGTATTTCTCCAAAAGCCTTAATATCTTTTAGACTTATTCCTAGATAACTCAGGCTAAAAAAATTTACTGTATTTCCTAGTGTGTAAGTTTCTTCTTTTATAAATGAATTGGTGAAATCTATCAATTTTTTTTGGACTGACTCAGGTAAGATTTTTCTTTAATTTTTAGTTTTCCTAATGTTAAACCAATTTTGCCTTCTTGAGATAAAACCAACTAAATAAGATTTTATTTTACATCCATTTAGCTAGTGGACATAAGGTTTCGTTGGAGATAATAAAAATGCTCTAGAGTTCACTAGAGTGATGTTCACTCAACTCTATAAATATATGAAAACGACTGAATTATACACTTTAAACAAGTTAACTTTATGGTATGTGAATTATCTCAATAAAGCTATTTAATAAGCTGGTCTAGACTTGTAGGGGCATCCAGTCTTTTGGCATCTCTGGACCACACTGGAAGAAGAGTTGTCTTGGGCCACACGTTAAACACAATGCGACACATAATTGCAAAAAAACCTCAATGTTTTCAGTGAATTTACACTTTTGTGTGGGGCTGCATTCATAGCCACCCTGGGTCACATGTGGCCCATTGGCTGGACACCCCTGGTAGAATTTTTTTCCAAAAAACTTTTAGCTCAGTTTATAAATCTTCAGTTTTAAAATAATTTCTACTTGAATTGGTTTTGATAATTATTTTTTTTCAGCCATCTGTTTATTTAATCTAAAATTCTATGTTTTGGTATAAGGGGACTAAAAGGCAATGCAAAAAAAAATACAATAAACTAAAAATAAATAAAATTAAAAAAATAAAATTCTGTTTATAGGTATCAAATTGTGCTTAATATCCTTTCTTTTTAATGTCTGCAGATTATGTCTCCTTCATGCTGTTACTCCTTATGTATGCCTTTGTGCTTATTTTCTTGATTAATCTCACCTTTAGGGGACTTAAAGGAATTTGTCTTCTGATTTTTGTCCATCCTATAACATTAGCATCTATTTCCTACTTCAGAAATTTCTGCTTTCTTTGGGGTTACTTTGTCCTTTCATTCTTTTCTTACCTTTTTAGTCGTCCCCCCCACCCCCTGCCAACATAACCATTTTAGGTTCCAAATAATACTTCAATTGTATCCTACATGCCCTAATATCTGGTATTTTCATTATTGTTCAGCTGTGTTTTCAAATTTCCATTACAATTTCTTCATTTGGCCCAGAGTTATTTATGTCTTCTTTCCAAACACTTTGTTACTGATCCCTAATATATTTGCATTTTGGTTGGGAGAACATGGTCTGTATTATTAACAGTCTTAAAATTTGTTGTACTTGCTTTATAATCTGGTAGGTGGCCAATCTTCATAAATGTTCCTTGTTTGAGAAATGTCTTCTATACATGTCAGATGCAATATTTACTACATTCACTATGACCAAGAGATCAAGTTTACTCATAGTGCTATTCAAATCCTCTATTTCCATACTGATGTTTTGGCTTCATAATGTAACAATTACACACTTAAATGCTGTATGATTGCACGGTTGTCTATTTCTTTTTGTAATTACATCATTTTCTTATTTGTCCCGTATTTTTTGGCCTCTATCTTTACAGATCCTTTCTTTCTGAGGTTTACATAGGCTACACTACACTTTTTAAATTAGCATATATTTTCCATTCTTTTTACTTCAATCTGTCTTTCAACTGGAACATTTAGTCCCTTTTTATATTTACTTAAGTATTGATTAGGTAAACACTGAGTTCAAATCTTCCTTCTTTTTGTGCCTTACATTGGTCCCACATGTTGTTTCTTTTTCTTTCTTTTCTTCCTTTGGGTTAATTATATTTTTTCTTCACTATTTTCTCCTCTACTAGTTTGAAGTTATGTATCTTTATCTTATTGGCGGCTACCTGAGAAATCACATTTGTCCTCAATTTATCAAAATCTAATTCTCACCAACAATCACCATCCTCCTAAACAATAAAGGACACGACACTTGAATTCCAACCACTCCTCAAAGTTACTTCTTAAAAATCTCAGATATTTCCACTGTAGTTCCCAACAACCCATCTCTAGAAGTAAATATTCTCAGGTCTCAATAAATATCAAGTGCAAAAAAGAGGAGTTCTTCAGGAGCCCAACAACTATCAAAGAGGAACCATCTTATTGTTCTAATCAGTCAACAACAGAAGGTCAGCTCAACTCTCTAACCAAACTATCTTATAAATAGCCACCGAAATTTCTTATTGTATTTATCCATCTTTTAGTTTTTTAAAGGGTTAACTAAAGGAGTGAAAGAAATCATATCACTGGCTAACTTTAACCTCTAGCTCCATCAGTTTGGTCTCCTGTATATCAGACAGCCCCAAACTGCAAGGTTTTGATCGAACAAATACTGTGACCACTCATTCCTTACCAAATATTAATAGGACTAGGTGTTTATCGCGCAGTATCTCATTTAATTCAACCCGCACAACATCCTCATACAGTGTAATTCTCATTTTACAGTTGAAGGAAAATTCTCTTATGTTCAACCTGAGACCACTGATTCCAAAACTTCACCGAACTGAGTTAAGATGAGCACTGGTTTAGAAGCTTCAAGTTCTAGCCTCATCTAGAACTTCAAAACGAGGCAGGTGGGAAGGGGTTGGGAAAATGAAGGGGTAAGGTACCCACCTGGATCCAAGCTCTACTGGAAGGATTAAACCTCATTATGCAAGTGGAAGTACTTTGCAAACTCTTCCCTCCTTAACAAGTGCCAACCCAAACTAACTACCAGGCTACACAATATGATTAAGTTGGAGACCACCAACAGTTCGGAGGAACCATACACACATGGTGATACCAGGACCTCTGATTTCTGAAACTGCCGCTTCGCAGGAGGAGCCTTTACTGTACTCCATCCAGGCCGGAACTCGGGAATCCTCCACCTTCCGCCCCCCACCCCCCGTCAAAGGCTTCTTTAGGTCCCCAGCACGTGTAACTCGGGGTGAGCACCAGGCACAGGTCCATAGAGATCTCCCTCTTCCAAACATCAGCAATGGGAAGTGGGGTAGGAGAGACTGATCCGAATTCAAGGTTCCACATTATTCTCTAAAGATCCCCACTCCCTAAATAATAAAAAAAAGAAGTGGAATCAAGTTTTCTCATCCAACTTTCTACTTTCATCCACGTGGGTTGGTCTCTTTCTCCCAGGTCGGACTATGCCCCCTCCGCCCACCAAAGGCCTTCGGCTGCACGCACAGACTGCTACACCCCCCGATCACAATAGTTGGGACCCTAAGGTTTCCAGAGCCGTAATCTCCAGCGAGGTTGTTGGGATCGCGCGGCTCCGCGAGCTCAGAGTCCGGGCCGGGAGGCCGAAACGACGCAGCTGCCGGAACTGTAAGCCCCAGCCTAGCGGTCGAGATGGAGCAGTTTTTAGCCCCTTCAAGCTAGTGAGTGAACCGAACTCGGCGTCTCCCGCTTCCCAGCCCTTCGGCCAGGTGCACGCACTCACCATAGCAGCGGTTGCGCGGCCTGGACTCTCCTCAAAACGCGCCGACGACGTCAAAGAAGCAGCGCGGTGCTCTGCCGGAAAGTCGCACGAAGGAAGCAGAAATGACCACGTGCGGCAGGAAGCGGAAGTGATGTCACTGAGAGTGGGCGGGCTTCGCTTGCCGGAGAGCCACTGGGAAGGGGCGCCGGAAATGGCCTCCGTCCTGAGCAAGGGACCTCATTTTGCTGTTTTTATCATCATTTTGCAACACAGTATTGGCAGAAACTAGTTAAACATTAAAAAAATACACCAAAATAGAGTTTCAATGGTGTCATTATTCCGCGGTCGGCTTATGTTTCATGACGTTCTTGTGTTCAAAATCATCTTTTTGACTAGTCACTGGTGAGGTAAAGCTATGGAGATAATGATAGGCAATCCTAAATGGTTTCCTTCGTATTCGGATATCGTTGCTAAAATTTCTGATGGGGAGTGGGGTCCACCAGAAATGGAACCAATTGAGTAGGGAATTCAGGAAGGAGCAGGTTTGGGGATGGGATTTGAATTCCTGTCAGGTTGAATTTGGAGATCTCGTAGGACACCCATTTTCTTCTGGCCAGCATACTGTTCTCTCTATGCTTCGCCAACTCCCCATTATTTAAGGCTGGACTCATGCCTCCCCACTTTCAAGAGGTTTAGTCTGATTCTTACAGCCCTTACTCATCTCTCTCCAACATGATGCCAAGCATGTTTTGGGGCCATTTGGATCTAGCCCAAACTAGACCATTAAGGACTAGTTCCAGTTAATTCTTTGGAAGACTAGAGATAGAAAACTGGAAGGACTTATGCAGCCCAGCCCCTTCATTTGAAAGATACTGAGGCCCAGACCCGGGAAGCTGCTTACCCAGTATCACAGAGTGAGGTGGTGGCACAGCCAGAACTGGACCTTGGAATTTTTAGCTACTGGCCTGGGTCTTTTCCATTACATCTGGTTGCTATGCCTGAGGTGTGCTGTGGCACTGGGCAACCAGATAGATTTGAACTGGCTCCAGGACTGAACATTTCCTATATTGAAAGTATCCCCATCAAATTTCACCTCGTGCAAATCATTCCTGTCAAAGAACAAAATTTGTCTTCAAATTAAGAAATGTCTATTGATGGCTCCTATTTAAGAGCTGTGATTTTGACTCTGCTCCTCACCTCTCTTGGATCCTCCTTCCTGCTGCTATATTAATTGGATTTATCACCCACCATGACTGGGGGCATGAAACCTTATGATTCCAATTTAATAGATGTGTCCTTATCATTTGCTTTTTGATGTCTTTTATAACAATTTCTGATTGTTATTTGGCATACCTGGCATCTTGGATCATCATATCCCAGATCTCCTCAATGATGGCTGATAGAGACTTGATATTTTTATGACCAAGAGTAATAAGACAGTACACTTTACCTAATTAATTACATTTCCCACCTATATAATTACTCAATTTCCATAGTCTCTCAGAACTAGCCCACCCTTTTGTATCTTGCTGTTTCCCTGGCTAGTAATTAATGTTGACATACGACCAGGATAAACCTGTCTTAGTAATTTGTCTTTTATCACAGTTTTGTGATTAAAAACCTAAATCCTTGCCATGGATTCTTAGCCCCCTCTTCAGTAGTCCCTGCCTCATCTCCATGTTACAGCCCAACCCAGATTCTTTTTCTACTCTAAGCACCTCTCCAACACCTTTCATCTTCTTCTTCTGGGAGTGATGTGCTCCACTGTTCTGCTTGGCTAACTCCTATTCATCACCTCTTCAGTGAAGCCTCCCTGATCACCCAGAGCAGGTAATTGCCCCTATTAATGGACCCACAAGTGTCCTGTACTTGCCCTTTGTAGCACTTGTTGACCTTGTCTTTATTCCGTGTCAACCTTTCCAATCACACAGATTCCTATGAGAGCAGGGCTTGTAGTAGCCTTGGACACAGTGGCTACCTATCTTCTGGCACAACACCTGGCCCAAAGGGAGTGCCTGTATCACTTAGGGATCTTTGGTGGTATGCAACCAAAAAGGAATTCAGGAAAAGATTCTGTGGTGGAGCACAGACGTTCAAGGGGAGCTCATTGTGAGAGCAGGACCAGTCCTACAGTCTCACTCCACTGTCAGTGTCCTCCAGCCAAAGACCACCAAGAACACACCTATAATGTTATCACTCGTTGCAAAAAGGGAGAACGCACACCATGAGGAACTGTGGGACTTCTTGATAAGAGGGTTTAGAAAATATTTAGTATAGGATTTATGCTTGTGTTAGGTGACTTTAGGACAGGTCGAAGGAACTGGTGTTTGCTCTAGATTAGGTGCTGTCAGGAAGTGTGAATAATGCTATGGTTGGGCATCAAAATAAATCTTATCTGTAAGGCAGATCAAATGAAGTGAACCTAAAGCTGTAATTGCTAAAGAAATAGCAGTCACTCATATTAGTCAGGATGAGGGCATGTTTGGTTATTTTTACAGTTTCAACAATGTTCATGTTTTTGTCTGTGTTCAGACATGATTAAAGAGTGGTCTTATTTTTGTCTTCATTTTCATAGTTGAGTGGCTTCACCTGATATTGATGTTGTATGAAATTGTTTATGTTTGGCAGGACACCAGGGCCCAACTACGATTGTTAGGCCAGCTCCTAGCAACATCGGGCCTAACTGATAGAGCTGGGCCAGTTTCTAACTGCCTCGAACTGCTTTTCTTTTTATCATCGACTTCCTATTCCTGCTTTGAATCTTTGTTCTTGATATTTAGAGCCCTGTCACAGAAAATCCATTTGGCCAAACTAAGGTCACTCCTCCATTCCTTGGCTTTCTTGGGTCTGTGAGAGAGCGTCAGGTATAAACTGCAGTGACATTCAGGCAGGATACATTATGTGGCATATTGGGTTCTTAGAATAGAGACATACTTCCCAAATGGCTGGTAAATAGATGATGCCCTTCTCCCAGGACCCCAGGGGCCACTTACAACACAGCTGTAAAGGGTTAAGGTCTGGCCCATTCTGATTAGCTGATATCCCTGCCTGCTCTGCTTATTCAGTATTTTAAATGTAACCTTTAGTTGAAAGACAGTAGCATTTATTCTTCCACCAACACTAACCCTGAGATGGGAAAAGTAATTCTGGGTGGTCAAACGAGAACACACATGTTCACTATGGTATTCATTAAGTGTTTGATTTTGGGTAGACATGGACAAATGGATAAAAGTATGTAATAGGAAGAAGGAAGTAAGTAGACTACAGGTTATATCAACCCATCATCCATGGCGGAATTTAATCTCTTCACTCCAAAAGGACAGGCTGTTTATAACAATTCTTCTTCCTCTTAATTCCTTTTGGGCAGTTCCCCAACATTGCCCTCACCTGCACTGAGCACGGGCATGTTAGCCAGCTCTGGTGCCAGACTCAGCAGCTGGAGCTGAGGCTGGAGTATCAGGTCCTTTGTGAGGTGGCCTCAGTGACAGATGCTAGGAGGCAGGGGTTACCTCACCGCACACTGGCTGGGATGGCCATGCCAGTTCTGCCCTCTAACAGCCTAATACCACCTGCCTGACATAAGCTTTTTCATGTTTCTCTCACTGCTGGGCGCCTGCACTGTGGTGGGGCCACTCCAGGGCTCTGAGTGGGAGCCAGCGTCAGGCCTGCTCTCCAAGGACCACAGCTGCAGGAACCCTCAGTGCTGTGGCAACCTGCTTGTCCCCTGCCTCTTTCTGATCTGGCAGGCCCAGCACTATTGGCACCAGATCACCAGGACCCACCCAAGCATGAAGAAAGTCATCAAGGTGAGGGGCCCCACTCCCTCCTTCCCTCAGCACCATAATTATTCCAGTCACTTGTGACAAAGATCCTGTTCGATGGCATGTGTACAGAGATAAATCAATACTGGGGAACTCAGACTGGTCAAGGGGAACATCATTCTGCCCCAAACCCAGCAGTTGCCCTGGACGCCTCTTGTTCACTCCACACATTCCATCCATCTGTAAGTCCTTTGGGCTCTCCTTGCAGACCACATCTCACATGCGATCACTCCTCCGGATCTCCCCACGCCCCCGTGGGTGGAGCTGCCTTGTGTCCCACCTGGACCGCAGGCCCTGCCTTCTGCCTGGTTCCCACCACCTCTCTCACCCAGTCCCAGTGCTCCCCGCAGCCAACAGAATGCCCTTCTTCTTTCTTTTCTTTTCTTTTCTTTCTTTCTCAAAAAAAAAAAAAAATTAATCCAAGGGTAATGTACATCCCAAATTGAGCACATCCATGTGCAGCACCCAGTTAAGAAACAGACCATTACCAGCAGCTCAGAAGCTGTCAGTCACAGGTATGCTGATTTTTAATAGCAAAGAAATGGTTTTCCAAACTGGTTTTGCCTGTATGGAATCATATAGTAAATTTTCTTTTGCACCCGGCTTATGGCTAACATTATGCTTGTAGGCCAGAACAAACTTTTAAAAAGAGATTACGGCACTTTGCCACTCAAAAACCAGTAATGGCTCTTAAGAATACACTCCCCATCAAACTCAGAATAAAATCTAAACTCTTAATTTCAACTCCAAGGACAGCTTGATCTGTCCCCACGTTTCTCTCTGACGTCCTCCCCCAGCATTCTCCTCATCGCTCATTCCATTCTGGCCACACGGGCTTGCTTGCTGTTCCGTGTACATGACCTTGTCCTGTCTTCAGGGCCTTTGCACTAATATCTGCTGTGCCTACAATGCTTTTTCTTCAGATGTTACTTGGTTTGTCTCACTTCCCTTAGGTCTCTTGTCAAATGTCACCACCTCTGAGAGGCCTTCTCTGACTACCTTTCTAACGGAGCTAACCCCATTCCCTTTCTGCTTTTATTTGCATCAGAACGCCTTTCCATACCTAACATTATATTGTATACTTGGTTATTGTTTCTCCATGTCCGGAAAGTATTTGTTTTGTTCATGCTGGTATCTCCACCATCTAGAATAATGCCTGGCCTGGAGTAAATGTTTCCTCTTTCTTGAATGAATAGCTACTGCTTGTTTTAAGGGAAATTATTCCCCCTTTCCTGAACCCCAGCATCCTCTTCTGAATAATGGACGTTACAATTCTGATCTGTGAGGATCAGGCAAGATGATGTGTGCA